TAGTATTTTCCAGATTTACTTTTACCTTGTTTTAATACTACTCACCCAACAAACACGGTTGCATGAGAAGCAATCTACATGGCATAAAGTATAATGGAGAAAGCGAATGAGATTCTTCATTGCAAGAGACAGGGAGATGCACGCGTGAAGACACGGTACGTGATAGAGGAAGGTGTGGGTAATACATTAAGTTTGCCAGGAGGGTTAGATGGCTTCTAGGAATGCAATCAAGACTATTTCAGTGGAATTATGAAAGGAAAGGGAGAAAGACCTTCTGAGCTGGGATCTGGGTTGTGAAAAGGTGCAGAGGCTAAACAGACAACAGGGAAATCACTGCAATGCTGGAAACACTAAATCCTGGGAAGAGTGTGGGAGTAAGAGTGTGGGAGGGACAAAAGTGATTAGCTGAAAAAGACCTGGAGGTGACACCTGGTGTATGTGTGAACCTCTTCCCAATTCTTCTAAGGACTGGAATTCTTAATCTTCTGTATGATCTAACTCTGAGGTAATAGGAATTTGTGGTCCAGGATGCCAGCACAGGCTAAGGTAAGAACAATGTACTCTCAAACATCGTGTCAGTGTTCTCCAAATCTATCAACAACCACTTCTCATGGGACAGGAACAAACATCAAGTGCAAGGTACAACTCAGAAAATTCTGGCAAGCAATAAGGCACAAGCAACAGGGAGCACCTTGAAGACATGGCCTGCCTTGTGTTCTGAAAGGCACTCGAGCTGCATTGTGGAGACCTAGTTAATTAGTGGAAGGGAAACATGGCGGCAATATTCAAGGCATGGATTTAAACAAACATTGAAAAGAGGGTAGCCGTGAGAATAGAGCAGGGCAGAAAACGACATGTTCAGAAGATGGACACAGTAGGCTTTGGTATCCTCTCATATGACGAGCTTCAAAGGGCTTTAAGAAGGCAAGGATGAAGATGCTTTTACAACGGGGGGGGGGGCTGGGGAGGCAATTCATATCAATGGACTCAGGAAATGCAGATGAACAGCATTTAGGTTGTAGGTGATGGGAACATTCTCACAGAAGCTGGCTTGTGGAGGTAGACAGGAGGCCACTGGAAATATGGGCTTGTAGGCAAAACCAAGAGCCACAATAGTAACGTGAATTAATATTTAAATAGTACTTAAAGTATACAGGATTCTGTCCTAAGATTGTATGCATTAGCCTGGTAGTGATGATGTACACCGTTGATCCCAGCGCAGGGGAGGCAGAGGCATGTTGACATCTAAGAACTGTTGAATAAAAATATTTTCTTTTCTTAATGAATAAACCCACCATTTATCTACTCCTTAGCCCCTGGCAGCTGGCCCACTTGGAGACCATGTCAGTTGGCTCAAACAAAATCTGTTCCCATGGTGACTGATGAAAGGTGTTTCTAAAGATGATTTGTAAATAATGGAAGACGCAATTGACTGTTCAAATGGATGGGCACCAACATATGGACTGTGAATTCAGAGAAGGACAACACAACCAAAGAAATAAAATAAACGTCTATCAACCCTAAAGACATGGAAGTACACTAAGTGTCTGACACAGAATCCAAAGCAGTCACCTTAGAGAAGCTCCCTGAGACCTCATTGCTGCAGACACCATCTACTTTGGTTAGAGGACATGAAGGAATCAAGGTGGTACTGATCAGGAAGCTTCCTCCCTGATGGTGACTGGCTTTCTCACTGGAAGGTGCTATTCAGACTAACGTGAGGGGAAAAGGCCATCAGCAGTCTTACACAGCTGTGAACCCTGTGAACTCCAACAACAACCAGTGTAGCAAGGGATGGCCAGGGGTTCAATAGTGGCAGAAATGTTATGGGAGTAACCAACTTCTTTCCAAGTGGATTTAAGGCCTGTTTCACTAGAGGAATACATGTGAATCCAGCCAAGAATCCATGGTTTTAGAGTTCATAGGCTCCAGGGGGTGAATCTACTACTATTGTTTTGTTAAATGGACACAGTCTCAGCCTGCCCTCTAAACATACTCTTATGCCCATGGGTTGGTGGAGCTTCTAGGCCAACAATAGACAAGTTGTGTTGTATTTTTGCACAGTGACCTGTAATTAATGCAGAAATCCATTACAAGTCAAAGTGTATTGAATAAATAACTATCGAGTACTCAGCCACAGATGGGACCATCTTAGAAGAGGAGGATAAAGATGGCTAGAGCCAGAGATTGGAGAGGACTACAGCAGACAAAAAATCTCCTGGATATGATGAGATTATTAAATGCATGAACTCACAGAAGCTGTGGTTGTCTGCACAAGAGCTACCCAAGATCAATTCAGTCGGCATTCAAGCTTGGAGTGGGAGCCGCACATGAGCCCATAGCACTTGGTGAAGACCTATTGACAACTGATGGCATCTAGGGGAGTGAGAGTCAGTTTTCTTTAAAGGTGTGGCTCCTGGCAGGTCTACTGTGCTCCACTGGATGGCCTCATACTCACAAGTATATGGGCAGCACAAATTGGACTTGGTGGGTTATTAAATTAAAAAACAAAAAGGACACAAAGTTGTGTGAATGAGGAGTGGATCCAGGATGGGCCTGGGAGGAGTTATGGGGAGGAGTTTGAGGTGAATATGATCAAAATACAGTGTATACATGTGTAAAATTCTAAAATAATAAAGTATATTAACAAAGTACTATAATGAGAACATAGGAGCTAGGTGAATCAGGAAAACACATAAATAATAGGTTTAATAAGGAGACAGAAATAATAAAAAGAATCTCTGTGATAGAAATCTATAAAGGCTGAATTGAAAAAAATTCAACAGAGAGTTGTAATCATTAATAAAGGACAGAAATAAATATAAAACAAACAAGAAGCCCAAGTCATCTGAAGCTAGTATCCAATCAGAGTAGTGAAAAGGAACAGTATGGAAGAGTGAAGGAAATTCAAGGGATTCTTGCTCTGCTTCCTAAGAGCAGATACTGTGACCTGGCATGTTCCTGAACATGATAAACTGTAGTCTCTCAACTGTCAGCTCAGAGAGACTCTTTTTCCCTTGAGTGCTTTTCCTCATGGATATGACCAAAGCAACAAGAAAGGCAATGGGTAGAAGTTGGTAGTATATTAGAACCTACCTCAAAAAATTGAGTTGTTTCCTACCTCAAATCCTTTGACCAGAGAATTTGAAACATACATACAAAGGAAAAAGCAAAAGACATCAACTATAATCTCACCACTCAGCATAAGCTCCGTTAACATTGGGGTGCTGTTCTTGATAGCATATTTCCCAGGTAATGAGAATCCAGATCACATTTCACAGTTCTAAGGTCTCCTCTTTTATCCACTTGCTACTGTATTTTAAAACATACTTCATCATTGCGATTCCCCAAATCATAGATTAACATGGATGTCTGACACAACAAAGGTCAGAATAGATATAATTTGTGTATCTCTGAGTACTGTGAAATATGCAGAATGGCAAAAGGATATTAATGCACTCAGTATTTCTGAAGTGCCTTCCAGACAGACTGACAATTTAGATCCTGAATACATGAAACTCGAGTGGCTCACTTCGTGTTTTTCAACAGTGTTAACTTAAAATCATCTAAGCTCATTGATTGGAAAAGCTGGTATCTGTACTCCTTAAATTGTTAATGAAGATTGATTTTTTTTTTTTGAGGCAGTTTCTCTGTATAACAGTTGTGGCTGTCCTGGAGCTATCAGGCTGCCCTCGAACTCAAAGATATCCTCCTGCCTCTGCCTTTGTCTCCCAAGTGCTGGGATTAAAAGCATACGCCACCACATCCAGCGAAAATTAGTATTTTATATTGTTATCTAAACAAAATATCCCTTGCCTAGAAAGCTGGTGTTGCTTTTTTCTTTGCAGTGGATGCATTCTTTCAGTTGTTTTATGAAGCTGCTCTTTGACATAAAGCATTGAAAGGCTAGATGCAACTGCTCATGTCAAAATTCTACTTAGAAAATACCCATTTTCTTTCTCCACCATTTAGAAGTCATGTTGTAACTGTGCATCTTTACAGGGTATATAAAATTTTGGTACATTTATACACTGTGTGCTGTCAACATGGAATACTTAATTTTCCCATCATGTCCTCTTCCTAATGAGACCATTATAAGTTTGTCTCTTCTAGGTGTTCTGAATTAGATGTCTCAATAACCACAAGTATAATTGCTCTGAGTCCTTATCCAGCTCATGTGGCTGGGACCTTGAACCCTTTAGCCAATAACTTCTCAAACTCTTTGAGTTCTTGGTGCTGACAGCATCTCTTCCTTAGTAAGCTTTTGATTTCAAATGACACCTATGCTTGTGGCCACAAATCTCTGAACATGCCTGGTCCTTACAAATGCTACCTGTGGTCATCTGCTATGTGTTAGTGGCATTTAAGTCACATAATTGCTAAATGTCAAAGTCATTTACTCTTGATTTTCATGTATACAATAAAATGTCATTGCATTTATCAAGCACAGAGCAGAAATTTGTGAAGTTCTGAGATGACCCTGACAACTTTGTCTGTGTTTAAGGCTAGATCTCAAGCCCGAGGGATGTCACTACAATAACCAAGCTAAATTCAAAGGGCAGTCAGATCTGGTCTGGAAATAAAACAGAGAGCACGAATGTGATATAATAAGGGATTCCTGAAAAGAAGCATTGTTTTCCCAAAGGAAAACACTTGCAAATTCTTCACATAATCAATCAAACAAACCAATCTCCACATTTGTGACATAGTGTTCATTTTCTTGAAGTTTTTCGTAACAACTTCGTCCTCCCTCTCTCTCTCTCTCTCTCTCTCTCTGTGTACACTTGCATGTATTTACTTATTTTGTATTGCTGGTGATTGAATCCTGGGCCTTGTACATGCCAGGCAGACATTCTGCCACTAAGTTACACCCAATCCACATTTATTTTTTAAACTACAATTTCACAGTTAGACATTTAGAAACATAAGAGATATGTCTAAATACTTTCAAAGATTATTTCTTAATTTTACTTACAAAGGTGAAAAAAATGATACATTACCTTTGAAACTAGCAGTGCAATAATTTCTTTCACAGTGTTGTCAATCAAATCATCTATTTTTGAATGGTACTGTTGCTAGGTTTGAAAAGACAAAATGCATTAGTGGATACAGACTTGAATTCTTTGCTGTAAGTCATGACTGCTTTAAAGCTACTAGTTATGGCATATCAAATTTACTTAAAATGGTCATTTTGAACATTAAAAGAACAAAGCTGTGACAACGATCCCATCCAGTCAACACTTCTACATTGCGGTTGGAAAATTTTCCCATGTGCACTGTTGAGTTAAGCAGCTAATGGGGTTATTACGGGGACTGAATTGAGTTCTTATCCTTATTCAGGCAGAGGAATGTGAAGGGTACTTTTTGTCTTCTCCTCTGTAATGAAGGTGGCCCTGTATTTTTCTAAAGGGTTGGTTTAGCCAGAGAAGCAAGGAGACTCAAAAAAAGATTTAATTAATACAGCATTTCATGTCTGACAACTCTCATTCATAAGTTATTTTGAATGTGCTCTAGAGATAAAACGCACTCCCAATTGTTCTCTCTAAAAGGACTTTTTGTCAGCCTGGAGCAGCAGTGGATACAATTCTTACAACATGCTCAAGCAAGGGCAAAATTAAAATTTCATCAACAAAAGGGAATAGATGGTAACAAATTAATAGGCCATAAAAGGTATAATGAAACCACACTACTCCCCATAGCTTTATTACTGCTTCCTCATGAACAAGATGTCTTTAAATAAATACAAAAAGATGGATTTAAAATCTGCAAGACTCCTGTTTTTGCTTTCTTTAGGGAGATTATTAGAGGGCTCCTTTTTTAAATTAGCAGAAGCTTGGACTTCCGTGGCAAATGTAGGCACATCAATTTAAACAGCAATTCTTTCTTTGGAAGCATTTATCTGACAGCAGATTGTCCCCAATGGCCACTTCACAGAAAATGGGACTTGTAAAGACTAACCCTATCCTGATGACTCAAGGCTTCTAGGAACACAGAGCATAATGCACAGACTAAAAGGACTCATGTCAGGGTAAACATTAGACCAACTTCACAGCTGCCTGCTGAATGCTTCCCTAAGTCCTATGTATTTGAAAGCTATTTTTTCTTTCTTCCGAAAACATGTCTCCATGTTTCCACACAGAACAAAACATCAACTCTGGCTTGCTTTGGAATACGAGGGAATGGTCCTCACACCCTCAAGGGCTCTAACAGAGTGGTCATCATCTGTTTGTGTAAATAGTGAAGCATAATGTTGAGGCTTCCAAGATATTAAGATATCAACCTCCCCGTGTGTGTGTGTGTGTGTGTGTGTGTGTGTGTGTGTGTGTATTGACACTGGTCTCAAGTTAACCACACGCACATGAGCTTTCTGGGTATGTACTACTTGTCTGGTTCACTTAAAGCCTTGCTGCCTCCCAAAGCTCTGTCCTCCAGAGGACAAAGAGAACGGGCATTGGGCATAGAGGGTGAATTGACACTGCAGGAGAGCTGGGATGCTCAACGTTGGCATAGGAAATGAGACAATAAAGAAAAACAGAGTGGAAGCAAAAGAGTGAAGTTTAGCCAGACAAGCTGGATTGGTAGGTAGTCGAGATTTACTTAGACAGCTAATGCTCTGGGCCACGAAAGCACTGCAGGGCTGATGCAAAGGCTTCAGTGCTCAGCCAAGTGATTTGTAGGGCGAGACCCAACACCCTTGCTAAAGGGCCTCCCAGCTCCAGCCAGAGGCTGCACAAGCAACTGGGTGGTGAAAGAGCTTATGCAAATGAGTTCTGCCTCTCTCCTTTCATGTCCCTGCTCCAGACCTGTGTCTGTGCAGCACAAAGGAACAAATCAGCAGTCATGGTCTCACTCTGGGCAGGAACAGGAAAGAGATACAGGAGACAGTCATGCAGCTCCATGCATCCCGCCAAAATGGAAAGCACTCTACAACAGGGAGGTGCTACTGAGGCAGGCAGACTCTCAAAGGTGTTCTTTTATGTCTTGATCTCAGTGCCCTACGTGCCATCTATTTCATATTTCAACTCTTTAAACACTGTCAACATGCTTTATCCCTTTTATTCTTTTTATATGTATGGGTGTTTTGCCTACATGTATGTCTGTGCATGACTTGCAAGCTTGGAGTCATAGCAGGACTGAATTTGAGAGTCTAAATAGCAGTTGAGGGTCTGAATTTCTTGGGTCTGGAGTAATAGATTGGAGTAATAGTAAATAATTGAACTCAGATCCTCTAGAAGTGCAGTCACTGCTTTTAACCACTGAGCCATCTCTCCAGCTCCCATATTTTAACTCTTAAGAAACAAAATACCCCAGGAATGCTATTACATGTAAGATAGTAGAGGTCTATATATTACACTTTTGCATTGGATTACTTGTGGCCATCCTTAAAATCAGTGATAAGCCACTTCAGAAGCCATTTATATTCTTTTTATTGAAAGGCTCAGAAAGTCCATGAACCTCAGGAGTCAAGAAATCCTGATAATGTACATGTGGGTATACTTTCCTTCATCCATCATCTAGACATACAAGAGAGGAAAAGAAAGGAGAGATAGAAATAGATATATGAGTGAAGTTGAAGTGAAAAACAAAATAATCAAAATGTATCTATCGTTAATGTATTATTATTCCAGAGGCCAACAAGTATGGGCTCACTAGATTTACACAATATAGGAGTATGCTGCTATACATTGATCCCATCATCTGGGAACACCAGCCAGGATGTAGTGTGAACATCCCTATTTTATGCATCCAACCTGCAAAGACAGCAAACCACATGTATGTGATTATATGGGAACACAAATATAATTAAAAGAAAGCCAGTAAGTATCTCAACATTCCTGGTAGCTTGGAAAGATAGAAAGAATACTCTAAATCACAAAGTAGCAACAAACAGAATTTTTCTGCAAAGCTATTTCTATTGCCTTAGCTAAAACTGATACATTGTTTTCCACTCCAATGAACAAATAACATTGTTGATAAAAATTCAAAAAGTTTTTGTCCTAGACTACAAAAATGTCTATAAGTGTGTGTGTGTGTGTGTGTGTGTGTGTGTGTGTGTGTGTGAAATATGTGTGTGCACATGTGTGTACAGGTGTGTATACACTTGCACATATGGGTTGGAGGACCACCTTGGGCCATTCTTTATCAGCTGTTTACCGGCATTTGTTGATACAGGGTCTCTCATCAGTCTGGGAATCTCCCATTTGGCTAGACAAGCTAACCAACCAGTCTCAGGGCCCCCTGTATTTCTGCCTCCCTGCTTCCAGAGTGTGATCCTGTAGCCCAGGCATTTGCTGGTGTCTTCAGGGGATTGAGTTCAGGTCCACATGCTCATATAGCAAGCACTTCAATGATTAAGTGATCTTCCCAGCTCTAAAACATCTATAGATTCTTTTTTAAACATGTGCATTTATTTACTTAAAATCATTGTTAGTATTTATTTAGAAACACTGCTAGTCCTAAGTACCACAGAGTTGGCAGAGTATATCTCAGTTCCCCCCCCCCCCCCCCCCCCCCCCGCCACATCTGCCCTCAAAAGCAAACAGGTTTTATCTTTCTTCTTTTGAGAACGAGTCTCAATTTACACTTGGACAACTGTTTAGAAATCCTTGCTTCAGAGCCCAAGCACATTTAAAATCCTGGCATTGCTACACTCAGGTGAGTATCATCATCTCACTGGACTGGTCACATGCAAATATATGAGCAATGGAGACTAACGAAAAGCCAGTGCAACCTAGACTCTGGCCCTTCTTTTGGGTTGCATTTTAGTAGGTTTGGTTTCCTTCTTCTGGGAATGGGAACCTTCCCCTTTAATTGATAACTAACCCTGTAGAAGTAGGACCCCTTGCTCACACTTCACATCTTTATTCTCAGTCAGTGGGACCAGGGTTGAAGTGCCTCTGAGGGCAGGTGGATGTCTACAGCATAGGTAGTCCTCTCCTTTTCTATAGTAATGGGTAATAAGGATTCTAAGCAATGTGGTGGTTTTATGATCTCAACATCCATCCTGAGGGACAGGCCTAAGTCTGCTGACTCATTATAAACATCTGTCACATGAGTAGACCATTCACTAACTAATCACTTCATTAAACCCCATTCTGGGCCTCAGAGAGCGAGCACCTTTGCATCACCACGAGGCACATAAGAAAATAGAATTGCAATCTGGGAACTCGGGCAGGTGTTTGGTGTGGTCAGGAGTGGAGGGAGTTTTTAAATTTCACCAGTGACAAGATATTAGTAATAAATTGTCACAGAGCTCGGTTAGCTGTATTTCTGCTAGGTTTAACTATCTAGCATATGTTTTACATGGTTCTGAATTGTCCACTAATCTAGTTTTGTCAGGAAATTTGATTCTTTCTGGAACAACAATTTCAAAACCTACAGACAGAGAGAGAGAGAGAGAGAGAGAGAGAGAGAGAGAGAGAGAGAGAGAGAGCTTGACGGAGAGAGGAACCATTATGAACAATTATGTAAGTGTATTTATTGGAGATTAAAGGCAACATATATGACCCTTTTCTTTTGCACTTGTTTACCACTTTTCAGGGCTGCTAATAGGTTTTACACCTGCACATTTTGAACTATATTAATTGTGTGAAAGTTGCAGGGGACTAATTGTCTCTGGTGAGAAGGTACAGGTGCAGACATAATGAAGAGTAGCAGATCACTCTTCAAGACGACTCACTTCTTAATGTAAAGAATCATTTGGCCACGTGACTGTTTGTGTGTGCAGTGGCTGTTTCTCTTTTTAAATACCAGAATGAATTGTTTCTTACAGGGGAAGAATTTTAAAGCGGTGGCAATAAGTCAGCCTGTTCATTTACTCAACACATATTTACTAAGTGCCTGGTATGCCGTCAAGTACTGTGTCCATACTAAAATAAGAACTAATATATTCACCCAGTAATTTGTGGGAAGATGACTCTATAATCTAAATGAGACAAGAATGTGCTTATGAGGCCACTGAAGATAATATTCTCAGATAGTCAAAAGTTTACATCTGGGTATTGAACTATATGAAGAGGTGATTAGGGACCATTGACATTCAAGGCAGCTGCTTACTCGTTTGGATAATTAGAGATAACAAATCATGTTGTACATGATCAGACAATGATAATTACTGAACATTCTGTAACACTGGCAGATCAGTTACTTACATATATATTTGTATGACTTTATGATGATATTAGAAATATATTTTCTCTCTAAATTGCACATAGCAAAATATGAGCTTATATACAAGAACATAAATGAAGTACAGATAGTTAATATCTATACCTGCATTAAATAAGAATGAAGCGCACAGATTAGGTCTTTTTAGCTTCCTTTGTAGTTAGCCAAATCCTTGTAACATTGCTAGCTAAGTAAGGCCCTGCTATTTGGTTTTCAGGTTTTAGCAGAGTGATTTATAAGAATGAATATGGCCATTGAAGGAAAAAATATTGAATAATGACAACAACAGAGTGCACCCTGGTCCATCATATATGCATGTAAATTAGAGGGCCTGATTTATGTGTGGCAGTAGGTCTCATGACACAGACTGCTTCTTCACTACCAGTGAAGGGCAGATACTTACATCCCATTGGGGAACTGTATCTCACCAAAATCCACATTTGTATTTTTCAGTATGAAGTGACCTTATGCACGGCATAGCCTCATGATACCAATATTTAGGAGTTATCCTGACATAGCCTTCACTGCCACCGAAAGCTCCAACTCTATATTCTGCAGGATGTATAAATGGTACTTACATACTTAAAAATCTTGTCACTTTCCGTCTATATTTACTTATACTTTTGATTAAAGGGGGGGTGAATTCACTTGACTTGAAATAATTTTATCTTTTAAAAATGTAAGAGTAGTTTATAGATTCTGTAGCCCAAAAGAAAAAAAATTGTTTGACATCCTTTAAAGTATCACTTTATAGATATATACATAGAAGCCTAAAAAAATCCTCTAGAAAATAGAATATTATTTTAATTTGTAACAGATGAAAACAAAAAAATACATAATTCTAAAGTGAAGATGGGCTTTTCTAAAAACAAACAACCCCCCCCCCAAACGTACAAAAATCCAAACCAAAATGAGAGACTTACCCATTGACTCCTAAACTGGATCACGTGATGGAGGAAAAATGAAATAATGATGAAGAAGAACATAGGGAAGAACAAAGAAATGATGAAAACAGTAATGACAACAGAAAAGGACACAAAATGTCAATGTAAACATACAAATCTACAAAATACAGATCCATTTCCACCCAATCATCACATTCAACAAAAACAAATCATGAAATAAGATGATGATGTCTTTTTTTTTTAGTTTAAAATAAACAAACAACCTTTAATCCCAGCACTTGGGAGGCAGAGGCAGGCAGATCTTTGGGAGTTCGAGACCAGCCCGCTCTACAAGAGCTAGTTCTAGGATAGCCTCCAAAGCCACAGAGAAACCCTGTCTCAAAAAACAAAAACAAAAACAAACCAAAAAAAACAAACAAAAAAATTAAAAGTGAAATGATGAAATTTTTATTAATGAGAACTAGTATTTTTTATTAAAATTTCAATTGCATTTTAATTGATTTTTTGCATGCTTGTGGAGGTAGAGGTGGGGTGGGTTCTTGGCACTGTGTAGAGGTCAAAGGACAACTTGTAGCATTTTCAATTCCACTATTTTCTCACTTGGCCCCAGTATGAGCTAGTCTACTTGATCCATAAAAAGGAAACGTCTGTATAAATAAAGGTTTTCATATGCTATAATTTTTGTGACTTGCTTTTATTGGATGCAAACTCTTAGTCTTCTAAATTTGTCTAAACAAAGTAGGCATGTTTTGGGCTTTCTCATTTGCTTGTAACAAGCAAGGTTTATGTAAATCGTCAGCACCAAAATGGTATATGGGAAATTAAAGAGCACTTGGGAAGTTTTGGCAGGTTTATATACAAAAGGAGAGGAACCTCCCTGCTGCACTACTGTTCCCTAGGACTTACCTCCTGTCCTCCATCCAGGGCACATAGCTTTGTGCTTTGCTTTTTAGCATCAACTAATACATTAAACATGGTGCACACGGAAGCTGGGATGCGCAAGTCAGTTGTTTTGTTTGCCTTTTGCAGCTTGAGTTCAAATGCAGTTCTTGTTCTAGTTATTAAAACATGAATTAGAGTAAGAAATCCTGACATACATCCCACCCATTTGTAAAAGTGAAATCAATAGCACAAGATAATAATATAAAACATGCAGATACAGAGTAAGTGGCATGGTGGAGCTAGGGAGTGGGGGTTGGGACCGGGTGGGATGTTCTGGGCAGGTGTCTCAAATAAAGGTTAGGCTGTGATGTTTCCATAGAAGAACACAATTTATGAGTTCTTCACAGGTGGTATTTTGAGTGCAAGCTTTATCCAGCTACTCAAGACAATACAGACACCCAAAGCTTTTTGTTATGTCTGATGTACCATATTTAATGGGAAAAAAAATCTTCATTTTACTGATTGCCTAAGATGATATCCAAGCAGAAAGTGCACTTGCGCTTTTTGCATTTAAGCAGAAGGCATCTTGTATGTTAGAGCAGAACAAAACAAAACAACAACAACAAAAAACAGTTACCAGCCTGGAAAGCTGAAAAATTGTAATACACCACAGAATACTATGATTCTTTTATGTCATTTAAATAGTCTCTTAGATGCCTGAAGTTGCAGGTAAAAAATGTAAGACAGGTAAGTTAAATTAGTCTTTGTTAAAGACACCCACCCCCACCAGAATCTGACCTACAGATTTGAGACTTGAAACTCACAGCTGAGTTTTAAAACTTAAATAACCCAAATCAGAATCTTGCCATAGGAGAGGCATTCACATTATTCTAAGAACTGGACTTCCTTGGCTCAGTGTGTTTAGGGGTACTCAGCTGGTCCAACTAAGACTTGTCTGTTACTCAGGTGTACTCCCCCACAAATCACAGACACATATAAACAACACATCATTAGCAGAGGTGCTGGGGACATCTAACTTATCAGCATATAATGCTGACTTTGTAAGAACTGTTTAGAAATGAAAGTGTATTTGCACATCTCTGAAGTCTTTAACTTATTTCTGGTGAAGTGCCGAGGAGTGCAAATTGTTACATCGTCTGATGTAACCAGCAAATTCCAGAAAGCAATGAGTAACCTTGGAACTAGGATAGTGTTAACTGTTATTTTGAGCTTATCAGGCCACTTCACTGCACACAGACACCATGCATAAGGCATAAGAACTCCATAGACCGTTTCTGTATGTCTCAGGAGATGCTATTTTGGGAATATAAAGCACATTACTCCCAGAGAGACAATCATGGTAGATGTGATTAATATGGTATAGGTGCTACTGATTACAGAAATGGGTGGGAGACCTGAAAACAGTATCATCAGATGAGGTTCATCCATGACATGGCCTCCCAGAACTAAGGTAAGAGAATGTAATGCCCAGTGCATTTTGAAATGGTGGTTCATACTCAGTTCTTGCCAGCATTACACATGCTGGCCTACCAAGCAGCAACTTGAAATACACATCTACCTTTTGACACAGGCCTCTATCATATCACTGGCCATAAGTTTAAGTCTTTGCTCTAAGTGGTGGGCAAATTCTTGTTCTGGCCAATGTAGGTCATAGACAAACATTTGCAGTGCATCAAGTTTCCAAAACAGATCTTCAGATGTTGTTGAGCCATTGCTAGAAAACAAAGAGGAAAAACGAGAGAATCATGAATGTCCACTGTTAAGAATGTGGGCCACCCATCTGTTGATTTTCTTTCCTGTGCTATTGCCATCAATGAATAATATACCACATTCACTCTCTCATTATCCAGCGTTCTCTTTCCTTAGCTTTTTCTAAGTCCTCCTTTCAGCTTCTTAATGAGGTAAGGCGAAAAGAATATAAAAGGAAGAAATGCGCTAGTGAGTTTTTGTAAAGAGGACTAATGTGTGTACAGAGACTAAAGACAGAAATCAAGCTGTGCATAGGACAAACATCTTAAGCATTCTTTATTAGTTTCGAAGATAGTGATGAATACATAAATTTATCTTACAGATTTGAAAAGTAGTAGTTTTTTTTTTTTTCTTCCTTTGATTTTTGAGACAGGGTTTCTCTGTGTGTCTTTGTAGCCCAGGCTGGCCTCGAACTCACAGAGATCCACCTGCCTCTGCCTCCTGAGTGCTGGGATCAAAGGCATGTGCCACCACTGCCTGTTGAACAAGTGTTTTGTGCAAGAAAATTTATATGCTCACACCGAGCAGTTCTTTACTGTCATCCATGCATCTATGCTTCCATTGTCACTGTGGGTTCTGTCTACAAGAGTGGAGCACACAGGAAACAATAGGCTAGGTAGGAAAGCAAACCTTTACTTCCTGTTTGAACTGCTTTGCACTGCTTCTAGCTCATCATTAAAATTTAACGTTGCAGGCTGGGCGTTCGTGGTGCACGCCTTTTAATCCCAGCACTCGGGAGGCAGAGGCAGAGGCAGGCGGATCTCTGTGAGTTTGAGGCCAGCCTGGTCTCCAGAGCGATAGCTACACAGGTAAACTCTGTCTCTAAAAACAAACAAACAAACAAACAAATCTAATGTTGCAAAAACAGAGACGGTTTTTGATCTGCTCTGAAGTTGAAGCACAATCGAGCATATCCAGCTTTATGCATGACTTAGCTAGCATTCACTAGGGTGAGGAGGAAATTATTCTAGAAAATGGTATTTCCACACCATGTATGCAGGTAATCTGCAGCAGAGTTCATATGTTATTTGAGCGAGTGATACCATTACTGCTTTCCATGAGACAAGTATCCAGTTAATAGGACGGCAGATGTTTGAAAGCAAAATACTCCTACATTAGAACATATTGTGACTCAATCACAAAATCAGAACAAAGCAGAAGTAAAAAAAAAAAAAAGAGCAAATATCCGACTTATTTGTTCTCAGCGTTGTAACAATTGCTCCACATATATTACACTAAATTTATATTCTTACTCTGCAAAACAAAATGAAAGAAATAAAGCCCATTTATTATAAGGGCACACTGGAAACTATAAAGCAAATTATTTTAAACAACCACAATGTTTAGCTAAATATATCTTAATTAGCGAGCTTTAGAAAAATCACCCTTGCCCTGGCTAATTAAAAGCTTGGTTTCTGCCCTGCACTCTGGCCTCAGTGTCTCAGCTCTATCTCCAATTTAAGTTGCTATCCCTATCCATTCTGCCAGGAATTTCTCAGGATCTCCTGGTCAGCCAAGTTGTCTTTGGAGTTAAGTTCTCAAGGGACCAATCATGACAAAACTGAATAGCAGGCACAGAATTTTGCTGCCTGATTGTCTCTGCACCTTAATGTGTGCTGAATGCAACATCAATAAAGGCCTGACAAGGCTGTACTGACACTGCTGTGAAAAATGTGTAAGACAATAATACTCTCTTCACATGTATCACATGTCAAGAAAGACATGAGAAGAATAAAAGGCCAGGCAATGTGTCCCCCCCACCCACATATCCATAGGGTACAGTTAGAAGATCTGTGTTTTAGTTGGATGTACTTGGCAAGGGCAAATTGGCTTTATAAATTTTGGAGGAATGTAACATTAGAAACAGGCACGCTTTAGCAACATACCACCAACAAAAATTATCATCAAAACAAAAATTTCATAGCCAAGACAATGCTATTAAGTTTTTTACACAAAATGTGAGTTATACTTTATAAAGACACAAATATGTTTTTTTCATCTGCCTAATGCTCTGTTAAAATTAGAGACAATAAATGTGCTTAATTGGGAATTTAATTGGTCTAATATGTGTTTGTTATAATTAAATAGATGAAAAAATATAAATAGGTTTTCTCTGGGTTTGATACAGATAACCTGTAATTTATTCAGAGCCTTTTCATTTTAAATTATTTCTAATCAGTGACTTAGTCCTAAAAATATTACTTACAGATTAAACAACTGAAATGTAAATAATGGATGCTGATATAATTCCCTAATTCAGTAGAGAGTTATCTTAATGACATTCATCTGCACGGCTAATGACAATCATTTGTACTGCCATCCCTTCCCAAATGATGACTCTATCCACATACAGGAGGTGGGGACAAATCATCTGGATTTTTCTTCTTTAAAAAAATTAGGAGCTTTCTTCTCTGGAAAAACACCAAATGGCAGATGATGCCAACCTGGGTTAGGAGGATGCAACAGCCTCTGTGGAGGGTTGTTCCTCGGTGGTCTTAAGGGGACCTGGTCATGGTCCAGCCTGTGGCCATGGTGGAGGCTGTGAGGCTCGTGGAGGTAAAGCTGAACACAAGGAGAGGATTCCCATCACCAAGGTGGACTGCCTGACTGACTTTTTTCTGGGTGGATCCCTAAAGGATCATGCTGGTGCAGAAGCAGACTCTAGCTCCAGAGAATCTGGTTCAAGGATTTTTTGCTATCAGAGACTACAGTGATAATGTTGGGCTTAGTGTTAAGTGCTCCAAGGATGTAGCCACTGCCATCTGAGGGGCCATCATCTTGGTCAAGCTTTCTGTCATCCCTGTGCAGACAGGCTACTTGGGGATGAAGACTGGCAAACCCCATCCTGTCTAGTGCTCTGTGTTGTACAGCTCATCCATGTCCATCCCTGTCCCAAGAGGCACTGGCATCGTCTCTGTTCCTGTGCCCAAGAAGTTACTGATGATGGCCAGTATTGATGACTGCTACACATCAGCAAGGAGCTGCAATGCCACCCTGGGCAACTTTGTCAAAGCACCTTTTTTATTTATGGTGTTGGCATCAAACCTAGGGCCTGCATTAGAGGCTTGCTCTTACTGACCTATCACCTTAATCTAGTTCCTCAACGCACTTTTTCACTCCTCCAGTAGTCAAATCTCTTTAATTTTAACACAAATTGGGAATGTTTCTTGCTACTCAATGTTTTATAACAAAACATCAAAAACTGAATTACACAGTAGGAAAATGAATATTCATGGAGACCATTATGCTAGGTGAAGTAAGCCAGGCTCAGAAAGACAAGTACCACATGGTGTTGCCAATGCTCTGGATGGAGACATAAAGAGACATAAAGACCTGATAGTAGAAGGGGGAGATTATTTGGGAACAGGAAGGGGACCACTGGGAGAGGAGGGGACATGAAGGGTAGGGTAAAATGAATCAGAGCAAAGTGCATGATACATATGTGTGAGACTTTCATAATGAAACCCATCATCTTGCACAATAAATGTACATCAATTTAAAATGCCAACTGCAATAGCATCATAACATTATGAATAATTATGGTCACTATGACAACAAAGAACCTAATAATCATGGTGATCAACTTATAGAACACATTTTTATTTGCCTATGACAATGAAGGCATCATTACCCACTTGCCATGATTCCTGTCTTGAGATTTACATCACTTTGTAAACGGTCCTAACGCAACACCACCAACGAAAAGGGCTCAGGTTTTATACAAATCTCTAAGCTAACAGAATAGCAATAAGAAAATGAATTATACAGGATAACATCCACAACACTGTCCTAGTAAAATGTAGATGGAGAATGAGGAAGAAGAGAAGTAAAATTATACGTAGAGTATAGAGACCAGAATTTAGAAAGGTTCCTTATGCTGTAAAGGTAATTTCTGAGCACACACAAAAACTACTCTATGTATTCCAATGGCACAAAGCATCTAACTCTAAGAAAAAGTTGGACATGCAAGGCTATATCCCTGTCATGTTATCAGTCCAGTAATGATGTTTAACTTGGGAGAATGCTGCCAAACTTTTTCACAAGTTATTGCTTTCTTTGTTGGTCTCTTTATAAAAATATATATATATATATATATATATATATATATATATATATCTTAATAGATTTGATGGTGGAAGGTAGGTACAAAGAAAGCTATTTAGGTTTTGAGCAGTCTGTCCTCTTGAAGCAGAATAAAAAGTGAAGTGTGGGAATGATTTTGAGGGCCAATGAGTGAGGGTTCAAGTTTTTGCCTATCACTTACAATTTGTCTATCATTTGCAATTTTTCTTTTCGTTTTTTAAAAATTTACTCGTGAATGACATTTCTTTAATTGTTAAATGGAGATAGTGACACTTACCTTCAGGGTTGTTATAAGGACAAAATGAGATAAAGAACTTGGCACTGTACCTAGAACACAGCAAATTCTGAATACATGGATAAATTCTCTGTAATTTTTATCTAATATTTGTGCTAACTGAATTCATATGAGCACCTGGGCAAAAGACTTTACTGTCTTTTTATAATTACAAACTAAGTGTGTAACTTCATTAGATTGCTATAAGGCTCCGAATTTTCATAAGAGCAAAACTAGAAATAATGATGGGATTGTCAGCAACAATGATAATACAGAGTAGTAATTACCATTTATTGGACATTTAGCATGTTCCAGTAGTAGTAATTATTTGTAGAAAGCTCAGGATGTGCCAGACACCTTTATGCAGTGCTGTTGACCCTCCCTACAAAACTATCTTTAAATTAGGAATGAACCATTTTCAAATTGAGGAAAGTGAGGCTAAGAAAGATTTATGATTCGTAAGTTAAGGTTTAAGGCGAGACATACTCAATTTTAGAGCCCTTTCCCCTAATGACCCTTAGTTAGTCTGCAGCAGGCAGGCTCACCACAATGTGAAGTAAATAAAATGATGTTTAATGGTATCAAGACCACCTTAAAATTTCAAGGTACATCAATTGAATGAGGAATGGAACAACAGAAGAACATTCTGGCGCTTCCCTGCAAGGTCTAATTGTGCTTCTTTAATGTTAACACTAAGATTAAAAACAAACAAGATGTTGTCATTGAAAGCCTTTCCTGATGGTTTTCTTCATGTACAATGTCAATGATAGCAGCAGTAAGAAAGATGAACTTAAGCATCCTTGAATTTACTACAATTATCAACATGGGAAATTTAGGATCCTACAACTTAGGAGAAAGTCTATAACCTGCATTTTTTTTAAATGACATCTGCCACACAGAATAGACATGAACAACATAAAACCAATGTGATTTCTTTCTTCTAGCCTCTATGATTTATCATCAGTATGCTAAGCTCAGCTTAATAGCTTCAGACACTCAAACGAACAAAGCCAAGACATTACTCCTCAACCAACAATGATCAATGCCATGCACTCTGCACGGAAGACAGCCCAGGCCATGCACTAGCTAATACAACACCAGGAAGTAAGTGAGGGATACACACGTGGACTCATATAAAGAAGCCATCCACGGAGGAGTAGAAAAGCTAGGAATCTGTGGAAGATTAAGAGGCAGACTTGGAACTTTTGGAAGAGCTACATTGGGAAGACTGTTGGCGATATTCCTGCAAAGAAACAAACAACGTGGGAAGGGAGTACCATAAGCAGTGACCACAGATGGCTGTAGGTAAAGTCCTAAGGTCAGGACTGAGACAGGTGCTCTGTGGATACCACGATACCTACTTGACTGGCTGCCATGTCTTCTGCTCAAAACCTCTGTGAATCGACTGGGCGATGGCGGACTCCATCAGGTCAACGTAGCGGACAACCAAGGGCACGAAGATCTCTTGCAAGTGTTTGTGAAATTTTCCATTACACAAAAGTGCTGAAATGGGCAAGCAGAAATAGTGTTTGTCAGAGGGATAATAATAACAGCTATTCTAGAAAAAAAATAGGTGGAAAAAATTTTTTCCTTAAAAGAGTCTCACATGGGAAAACCGATAGAACACAGATCGATGATAATGGATTTTGCTCTTTATATTGAACATCACATCATGGAAATTACCTCAAAATTATAATTAGCCTTCCATATATGCCTGTCAAAGCAAAAATAGATTATATTTCTGTAAAATGTTCTGAGCAGGTGGTATGTTTGTACTTCCTAAGAGATTTAACACATAGGCACACGACCACTTACTGTAAATTCAAGGGAAGTGCTGCCTCCACAGAAGGTCCTGACACATGTAAACACAGCAATTAAGCAGAGTCAGAACACCCTTGCTAGGCTGTGCATCACAGAAGCAAATTCTAAACCTGTTCAATTATATTAGGTAAGCTTGAGTACATCTAAGGACTACACGTTTGGATTCACTTGAGAGGGTGGCTGTGGTCCCAAGAATATTCTGATTCATGAATGTTTGAGTTACTTAGAGATTTGTTTCAGAGTATCCAATATAGTTCATTATTTTATGTGTTTTGGGGGTTCTGGGGGGGTTGAACCCAGGGCTTCTAGAATATTAGGTAAATGCTTTACCACTGACATACACTTTCAGTCCCAATACCTCTATATTTAAAAATAGCACATTGCATCCATCTTATTTTTCAGTTTCCCAATAGTATGAAGAATTAAGGTTTGGGACACTCTTTGTAGCATGCTCATAGAAGTCTTACATTTTGTTCTACTTGGTTAAGACTGATGAACAGGTTATACTCATCACTTCCAAGAGATGGATATTTTCCATGCAAAGGTCATAATTTCATTAAAACACATCACACCTTGGAAGGACAGACTCTGCAGGAAAATACTAAGCAATGCTAACTAAGACTGAAGGATTTTTAATGTTTTGATTAATGTTAGTATACATTTGCAAATGTTTCTCAAATGAGTATATCCTAAACACATTTATGAATGTTTTTATCTTCAAACTGAAAATGTGCTCATTGAAAATACATAGTTATCACACCAGGTGGTGGTGGTGCACACCTTTAATCCAAACACTTGGAAAACAGAGGCAGGTGGATCTCTGCGAGTTCAAGGCCAGTCTGGTCTAAAGAGTGAATTTCAGGACAGCCAGGGCTACACAAACTCTGTCTTAAAAAATATATATATATATATATATATATATATATATATATATATATGGAGGGAGGGGGAGAGGGAGACAATAGATATACAGAGATAGAGTCATTGGTCAGGAAAGGCATATGTGAAGAGATAAGATGGGATTTAAATTTAATCTAAATATCAGAAGTTTCCCATGGGAGTTCTGTGGTGGGAAGGGATTTGCCAGGTGGAGGGAACAGCTAGCAGAAAACTTCAAGGGGACTTTGATGGTGTCCTACAAAGATTAGGAACACTGTTGGGAAAGGGTCGAGTAGTTTTCGGGGGAATCTAGTTCTAGGACATTGTGTGGGAGTTTGTTAGGCTCAATGGCACTAATCTGGTCTTTCTGGTCTCTGCATGACAAATGGAGGTCATTAAGAAGAGGTAGCTAGAGACAAGCTCTGGGTAAAGGGTGATGGTGGCTTTGGTTAAGGTGTCAGAAGTGGATGATGTTAAAAAAATAACCTCTCTTCAGTTTCAATCACTTTAATGGATTTTCGTATCTGCACATGTTGAGCCTTAACAGGTCTAACCTGTAGCAACTCCAACAATCTGGTCTTACACTCAATATGAAAGCTTCTCACATTAGCTTCTCTATACAAAAATGGACAGAAGTCTTCAGGTGTTAAGACTGACAAAGCACATGGTATTCACTAACATGACATGGATAGGGAATGCTCTCAATATTTCTGTGACTCTTAAGTTTGTCAGAGGGTAGAGAAACACGGACTAGTGAAAATGGAGTACAAAGTAACACTAGATCCAGGATGTGCAATACTGATTTTATTCTAGCTCTCATATGGCTTAGTTTGTCCTTGTAGCAAAAACAAAACAAAACAAAGCAGAAAAACCAAACAAAACCAAACCAACCAAAGAAGCCCACCTTTTTTTTGGGAAAAAGTGTTTGTTGCATACAAAGGAGGACCTGAGTTTGGATCCTGAGCATCTACGTAAAAAGCTGGGCACAGTGCATAACTGTAAACTTGGTGCTGGGAAGTAGAGAAAGGGGTATCTCATAGGCTTGCCTGCCTGGTCCGTCTAGTAGAATCCAGGAGCTCCAGGTTCAGTGGGAGATACTGTCTCCAAAAAAAGTAAGGTACACAACAATAAAGGAAGACACATGACTTGGACCTCTGATCTCTGTGGATGTACAGGCTAAAGAAACACACTAAAGAAACCTTTTCTTGCTTATCTGTATGCCAAAGGTCTCTTATTCAAGCGTGGAAAATCATATTTAGTGATAAATGTGTTATTGAGAAGACTAATGTTATCGTATGATGTTTTCATTAGTACACGGATGGAAGGTGTTTCATCGACTCCCACAGATTCAAGTCACAGAACTAGAAGGCACTGTCCAAGGTGTAATTCAGTTACCCTTTAGCCAAATGTCACCTAAATAAAGATGTCAAGATTTAAGGGTAATATGTTCTCACCTAAAATATCAAAACCATTATGACAGCCCAATTAAGAAATTTAATGAAATCCTATTGACTGTATCTCCTTAAGATATCTCTTCTCCTCTATATTAGTATTTTTGAAGTATCAAATGTATTGTTCAATTGTATTGTACATTCTGTCACTTAACCGTTACAAAAACTCTAAGAAGAAAGGAAGATTAAAAAAAATCTATCAATAAAGAAAGCTAAAGTGTAGAGAGATTAGGAAATTTATCTAAGGTCATTTAGTTACTAGGCAGTGGAACCTGGGTTTGGCACTAAAACCACATGTTAACCTCTTTATATTATAAAATCATAATTCTTTTATTTAGGTTACTATAAAATATTGGCTGTCTATCTGTCCAATCTATTCCTCTGTCAACCTAATATCAGTGCATTAATAACTTTTAAGACCTATAAATACAGTGATTTGCTTTTACAAGAAAATCTGTAGGCTGATAATATCATCTTTATTAAAGCCAGACAGTTTTACATTGCTGTACAGCAAGACTGTATGGCTAAACTTTATTCTTATGGTACAGAATTGACAAACAAAACAAAGAAATTAAACTAGGTTCTCATTTTTAAGCACACAGTTAACCACCGTTACCATTTCACTATTCCGAGGTCCCTAAACAATTTTAACAAATTATTACAACTACAAACAAGCCTGCAACACTTTATTTCAAAAGGTACTTTACAGAAGATTAGGTGTTTTGGCTGTGAAGTCACAGCTTAATAAAAAGAAGAAGTCTAAAATAATTCCATTCCATGTTGGTATTAAATGTTACAGTAATTCTAAGATTAAGTAACAGTTGACTCAAAGGTACTTCTAGCAAGTTTTGTCTTTAAATACATTTGGAAAGTACTGTATTCATTGTCTGACCTGTTTAGATTTTCATTTTTGTGTAATTTTTCCTGTTTTATTTTTATTTAGTTTTTTTAAGAGAGAAAATTGGGTAGGGAGATGAAGATCTGGGAGGTTGTCGGGTAGGGGCAAGAATATGATAAAAATGTATGAAAAAGAATCAATAAATTAAAAATATATTAAAATAAATAAAACTATTACATTAAATTTCCCAATCCCTGTATACCCATCCTGGAGTAAAAGTGGAGATTTTCTATCTCATCTCTACAGAAGCATCACAGAGTTGAGTACCTCAAGCCTTTTCTCCACTCCCTACATCCAATCAGTAATCCAGACCTGTGTATCTCCAGGCCCTCATGTCTTTACACCAGGCTGGTCCTCTGCTTATCTCCACTGCTGCTGCTTAGTCTGTACTTCTCTTCTGTGATGACTCATGCAGTCATTTCCTGTTTGACCTTTGGGTTCCTACTTTTCCCTTGAACAGCTCACCTTCTCACAGAATCAAGTAGAAGGGTTTAGGGAAAAAAATGTAAAACTCTTCCCCCAGACACCAGTGCAGTCCTTCCATGTACCATTCTAACAAACTGAAAGATTCAGCAAGATATGAAGGCCCTCACTGATGGCTTCTCCAGCCTGTTTCAGGGGCTTATGCCCCATATTTCCTTTGTCATAGGTTTGATGACTTTCTTGAGTCTCTCAAATCTTCCTATCATTTTACAAATACTTTATTCTGCCCCCTTTTTCGTGACCCATTACTGGCTTTCTGTGTTTCCTTTTTAAAATCCCATCAGTTGATGTCTTTTCCTCCCTCTATACTTCTTCCTCCCCTCTTCTTCCTCCCTATGAAAGCACTGGTCCTTGAGGTAGGGATCATAGCTGTTTTTTTGGTCCTGACCTGAGGCCTGGCTAACAGTAGTGTTTAGGTGTTGGATGTGTGAATGAATATTTGGATACAAGACTAATCTACTGTATCTTTCCTTGGGAGACTGTATCAGATGACAGCTATATAGCTATATATATTGAGGCCTGTATATCCTTCATATTTTATATGAAACCTATGTTATTAGATGATACTGGTATGATAAATTCTATTGTTATCCATAAATCTAAGCTCAGGTGGCTAAAATTTCTACTGGATATGAATATCTCTTATTTTAATGGATATGGCACATAGAGAATTTTTGATCAGTTATTACTACTAGCAATGCAATTACTTAAAGCATAATTTGAAGAAGATGGAGATTATTTATACATCTTATGAATCTTTTTTAACAAATAATGAATTTTGGCTAGAAGTCTGCTATTTCATCTGACACTTGCCTTTAATTTTTTGGTAGAGCTGGAATTGAACTGAGGGTCTAGGTAATTGCTCTAGCAACAGAATAGATCTCTTGCCTTCCTTTTTGATTTTTTTAAAGCCACATTTAAAAAAAATCTTGAAAAGCTGACAGTATCAGTTCATAATTAGAGAGAGATAA